CCCGCAGGAAAAGCCCCGCGAAGGAGGCGGCCGGGGAGGGGGCGGGGCCGCGGGGCGCACACGGGGCTCGCCCTGGGCTCTGCCGCCCCAGCGCGGCGCCCTCAGCCTCTCCCCTCATGCCATCCGTGCTGCGGGCCCCACCCGGCTCCCAGGTGTGTGAGGGGGACCCCCAGGCTGCTTGTCTGCCTTCAGCTCAGACCCGTCCCTAAGCCGGACTGACTTGTCGCTAGAGGCTGGACTTTTTTCTCCCCCTTCCTGACAACCCCTCTCCTGTCTTGTCTTCCTCCCCTCCTGAGCCCCTCTCGCATTTTCCTCCCTATCTCCCCAAAGTTCCTCTCTTTTTCAGCTATTTTCTTCCCTTTTCCTCTTTTCAGTGCCCCCTTAAACATCTCTGCCTGTCTCTGTGACTCTTTGTCCAGTTCATTTCTCTTGCGACGTTTTCCTGCCTATCTCCCTCCCTCTGTCACTCTTCTGTCTCTCGTTTGTCTCTGTCCTACCTCGGTACTTGGCCCGTATCAGCGCTTCTCTTGGACAGCTGTCAAAACTCCCTAATCCCCAGGGCTTTCTCTGTTTTGTTCTCTTCCCTCGTGTCAATGGAGAGATCCAGTTGGCCGGGGAAAAGGAGGTGTTACAGCAAGCTGAATTTCAATTAAAGAGGGGAGAGGGGCTGGAGAGGAATAGGGATGACGGCAAAAAAAGAAAGCAGATGCTGTATGGGGTAATTAATGCAGTGATTGTATTGTGCCAATTGGTTTTTAAGCAATAATTAAACAATAATTAGCCAGTGTTCTGTTTATAGTTCTAGTGACTGCAGAGCCTACAAAACAGGCTCTTTAGACGTGAGTACTTAATGTGGTGTGTTGGGTGGAGAGGGGAGGAGGGTTGCTGCTGCTTCATTCAGACAGATGGAGAGGCTGTAGCCGGACCTAATGCGTTAAACACTCCTAATAAGAAAACCAGGTCCTTGTCTCAAGTTCATGGCCTGGTACCCACCAGCCAGAATCTTTTGGATCTGTTTGTCTCTGGCAACCTACTTCCAGCTCTCTCTGGGTCAAAGCACCTGGAACATTTCCAGACCTACCAACTGGGTAAAGTCTAACAGCAAATAGGTTGAATGAAATAAGGTTTTAGTGAACCCTTTCTGGCTCCTTGTACTTATCACTTCCTTTAATGAATGTTGAAAATGTTTTTTGTTTGTTTGGTTTGGTTTTTTACACATTAAAAAAAAAAAAAAGCACAGTTACTTGCCTCCAATCTTGGGTATAGCTATCAGACCCTATTTCTTAAAAATTATTAATAGTGACTCTGAGGTCACAAATTAACTGCTATAATATCTAATTTATCTGACCCTGATATCTTGAACTGCCTTAAAGAAGCCTGATGCTTCTACTTACCATTTTCTCTGACAATGAAAGTGTTTCTCACTTGTCTTTTCTAAATTTTGCCTCTCTTTAACCCCATGACTAAACCCTGGCCTGTACTCCCACGCACACACATGATGGCAGAGCTGCTACTGACTGCCACCGTTGTCAAGATAGAAAACCAGAGGCATGGCAAGAATTTATCTCATCCCAAACTAAGAAGAAACATTACATGTTTAGAGGAAAGTTCATATCAAAATCTCAATAAACGTGGACCAGAATGAGAGATAACCTCATATAATGAGGGAAAATTTGGCAATTTCTATTGAAATTTTAAATGTTTTTAGCTATATTAATAGCTAAATTAATTAACAGACAAAGATTTCAGAGCAAAGACTATTACTAGAGATAAAGAGGGACATTTCAATTCATCAATTGGACATACAACTCTAAAAGTTTTTGCATTTTACAAGAGTTTCGAAATATTTGAAGCTAAACTATAGGACTGGTAGGACTACAAGGAGAAATAGACAAATTCATAATTATAGTCAAAGATTTTAGTATCTGCCTCAATAATTGATCAAATTAGGAGAAAGATCATCAGTAAGAGCACGGAAGATATGAACACTGCTATCAACTAACTTAACCTCACTGACATTTACATAATAGTCCACTCGATAACAGCAAATGCACATTTTTTTCAAGTGCACGGGTAACATTTATCAAAATAAACTATATGCAAAGCCATAAAACAAGTCTCCATAATTTAAAAGGATTAAGACCACCATGCACAGTGGTATGCAAATTATTCCTCAGTTGTTTTCTTAAAAATCATAAAGTATGTTCTCTGAGCACCATAGAATTAAATTAGAAATCAATAACAATTATTGAAACCCCCCCAGAAAACATATTTGGAAACTGAATGACATACTTTTAAATAATCCACAGTCGACAAAGAACTCAAAGGGGATATTAGAAACACTTTTAAAGTGAATAAAAATGAAAACACATCATATAAATATCTGTGGGATACAGCTAAAGCAGCACTTAGAGGGAAATTTAGATGCCTGAAATATTTTGTAAATAAAGGTCTCAAATCAATTATCTCCTGTTCTACCTTAAAAGCAAATGAAACCCAAAGCAGACAAACAGATTTTTATAGATCAGAGCCAAAAGCAATGAAATAGATAACAGAGAAACAAAAGAGAAAAATAGATGAATCCAAAAATGGGTTCTCTGAGATCAGTAAAATTTGTATACCTCTAGACAGACTGAACAAAGGAAAAGAGAGAAGAATAA